AACTCTTCATATATATATATATATATATATATATATATAAACTAGTAACTTGCTATTCTAAACAGTATGTTTGTATGGAATTGTGACATTTGGAGTTTATAATGAAAAGAGGATTTGAGGCCAGCAGAGGGCCCCATTTTACTAACTTATACATTTCTATTTGACACAACTCAATTGTCCAAATGGTAGTTTTTTTTCCTTTTGGAAAATGATAAAATATAATAATTTATCGATTTACCGACCTTTATCAATACTATAATTACTGTTCACTAATATAATGAGAACTAATTCTGGTTTAACTGACGCTAAAGGGTGCCTAAAGTGTCAGATATTGAAGCATGGTCAAAATGCTTCCCAAGGCATCAGTTAGGTGACACCTTGGGCTGGAATATTGAGCAGCAAAACTGTTAAACACTGATAATAATCAGAAATGTTTATTGAACCGCAAGTCATTACATTAGAATGATTTCTATAGGATCATGTGACTACAGAAGGCTTAAACAGCAACGTAAAAAAGTAGCATTTCAAGATTAAAGTCGAAACATTTCGAGATTAAAGTCGAAATATTTCGAGATTAAAGTGCAAAAATTTTTAGATTTAAGTCGAAATATTTCGAGATTAAAGTCGAAAAATGTTGAGATTAAAGTCGAAACATTTCGAGATTAAAGTCGAAAAATGTTGAGATTAAAGTCGAAATATTTTGAAATTAAAGTTGAAAAATTTCAAAATTAAAGTCGAAACATTTCGAGATTAAAGTCGAAATATTTGGAGATTAAAGTCGAAAAATTGGAGATTAAAGTCGAAACATTTGGAGATTAAAGTCGAAACATTTCGAGATTAAAGTCGAAACATTTCGAGATTAAAGTCGAAATATTTCGAGATTAAAGTCGAAATATTTCGAGATTAAAGTCAATATATTTCGAGATTAAAGTCGAAAAATTTCGAGATTAAAGTCAAAACATTTAGAGATTAAAGTCAAAACATTTAGAGATTAAAGTCGAAATATTTTTAGATTAATGTCGAACAATTTTGAGATTAAAGCCGAAACACAATCTTGGAATGATTCGACTTTAATCTAGAAATGATTCGACTTTAATCTAAAAATACTTTGACTTTAATCTCGAAATGCTAGATTTTTTTATTTTTTTACAAATTTTCTTTCTCTACGTTGCGGTTCAGGGCTTCCGTATATGTGACACTGGAGTAATGATGCTGAAAATTTAGCTTTCACAGAAATATTTTTTACATTGCAACAATATTTCACAATATAACTGCTTTGTTTAATTTTTGATTAAATAAATCCAGCCTTGGTGAACAGTAGACTTAGAAATACTGAGCCAAAACTTTAGTACTGTATGTTATTGTAGTTCTAGATAGCAATGTAAAGTACTACAAAATGAGGCAAAACGTTGATGCCGCCAAACAAAGGACGACAGTGAGATGTCCTGTCCACATAGCAGGTATGACATATGTCTTCCTGTCGACAGGGTCAGATTCTAACAAGCCCACATCTGGCCCAAAACAAGCAAACGGTGCTACTCATCTCTTCCACATTGTGTTAGTGTAAGGACAAGGGGTCAGGAGAGAAACCAGGGGTTGCATTACACAAGCCGCAAGAAATGCTCATCCAATTACTACTGCTTGTTTTGTGTGTCCAAAGCATGACATAGTCTCTGAATCTCGCCGTGTAAATAAAGAACTGAATATGTGTTTGTGCAATTAAGATAGACATCAGAAGATACACAAAACAGGAAAAAGACTTGATCAAAGAGGTAGAGAATAAAGATGAGCAATGCAGGTAGTCTAGTGTGTGTGTGTGTGTGTGTGTGTAAAAGATAGGAAACAGACAGCAAGATTATTCAAGGTGAGCACTATCACGAAACACATCTAAAATACAAAGTTTACATGACAACAGCTAAAATGAGGTAAACCTTCACAAATCCTTAATCTTTTCTCCGTTTGATAAAAAACCCCACGAGAGAATTATGACATTTCAAAAATATTTTATGATCTCTAAAAAATAAAAAATGTCTGTGTATAATAGGATTATATATATATATATATATATATATATATATATACATATACAGTATGTATGTGTATAGGGGTGTAACACTCATATCACGATTCAATATGTGACGATACTGAACTCACAATATGATATTATTGCGATTCCCCAAAACACATGATAAAAGGTTAACAAAAAATGTACTGTTGATTAAAATGCTAAATTTGATATTGCATTTAATTCCAACGCACAGGACAACACAGACACCAGAATAAACATATTCATGATTCTGAAGCTGAAAATACAGAATTTTTTGAGATGAATATGCTTCCACTCTGTCACTGACTAGATTATATTTAAGATACTTTTATACTGGAAACATTTCCCATTATCAGGAATAGTCCCCCTACATTATATTCAACATTATATTTAGTAGTTTAATGTCATACTGACTCTAAAACTCTGAAAACTAGATTTTTTTTTTTCCCCACAAATTTTCATTTTGGGTGAACTACACACAACACTGATTGTCACAAATTCACGATACGTATTGTTGCAGTTTTGTATTGCGATATTTTGTGATGATATATATAATTACCTTTAATTCTCTTAAAACAATTTACTTTTATTTGTTATAGAGCACATTCATATTTAAAGGGTTAGTTCACCCAAAAATGAAAATTCTGTCAGTATTTACTCACCCTCATGTTGTTTCAACCCCGTAAGACCTTCGTTCATCTTCGCAACACAAATTAAGATATTTAAGATATTAAGATCGCTCCTGCATACAGTCCATAGGCTTCTTGAGGTACTGGCTCTTGCTGTCCTCGAAAAGTCATTAAAGACATCGTTAAAATAGTCCAAGTGACTACAGGGGCTCAATCTTAACTTTATCAAACGACGAGAACACTTTTGTGCGCAAAAAAACAACAAAAATAACGACTTTATTTCAACTATCACTTCCTTCTCTATGAGCCTGTAAGTCAGTTAACGTAGTGTGATTGCGTAGAGCTACGTCACACGTAGGCTCACTATTGGCCGACGCTGGTCATGTGTGTGTGATGCGTGTGACGTACAATAACAGAAGCTTACGCTATTAAACTAGTTAGCTGACTCGCGCAGAGGGAGAAATAAACGAATAGTTGAAATAAAGTCGTTATTTTTGTTGTTTTTTTGCGCACAAAAGTGTTCTCGTCGTTTGATAAACTTAAGATTGAGCCCCTGTAGTCACTTGGACTATTTTAACGATGTCTTTAATGACTTTTCGGGGACAGCAAGAGCCAGTCCCTCAAGAAGCCTATGGACTGTATGCAGGAGCGATCTTAATATCTTAAATATCTTAATTTGTGTTCCGAAGATGAACGAAGGTCTTACGGGGTTGGAACAACATGAGGGTGAGTAAATACTGACAGAATTTTCATTTTTGGGTGAACTAACCCTTTAATATATTCATAAAACAGTGGCAGTAGACGCTATTGCCACTCAGTATAGACACAGACTAACTAGTTAAGTGAGTCGACTAGTGTAGCCGGCAGGATTATGGTGGGAGGTCATGCCAGTGGACAATAGTACCGTTTGTCACTCTCAGCTTTTGTGTTTTTCCAAGCAAATTCCCCACTCTCCTGGGGCCAGAGCGTCCTCTTTCCCCGTCTCACTCTCTCCATCTCTTTCTCCGGCCGTGTTTCTCCTTCTCTCCAGGACCGTGGGGTCACACAGAAGCACTGGGGCACAACAAACAAACAGCCTTACAGCAACGTGTGGGTCAGGAGAAGGAGCCGAGACCCAATATGTTGAAGTCATTAGCTCCATGGGGAGGGCCACCCACCCTGACCCTGCCTGTCTATATGAGCCTCCTCGCGCTTATGAACACACACCCCGGTGCAAGGGACCCGGGGCTTACCCCAGCTTGACATTCAGGGATGATAGGAGAAACTAAAACTGATATCTAGTTACACAATAAATCTCGCTAAATTCTCAACTGACTGAGAAAGAGGAGCAGTGTAACGGTAATAAAAAGGTTTCTCTGTCTGGCATTTATTAAACAGGGATATTTTCTTATGTTTAAGGGGAAATTTTAATAATCGGGTACACTTTATTTTAAGGTGACGCAGTTACATTGTGCTTACTCAAATAAGTAACGAGTAATATAAAGTGACTTCATTTACTTACTAGAGAGTTACAGTAGGGTTTGGTTTAAGGTTAGTTACCTGTAATTAATTTACTGTTATTAGTAAGTACATGTAACTACATCATCTTAAACTAAAGTGTTACCAAATAAGCATATATATATAGAATATATTTTAAAACATGAAAATTACACATTTTTTAATTTACAAAATAACAAATTACAAAATTCAATCCAATGAAACTATGAAATGAGTAAGAATGAAAGAAAATGATATTATTGAAGACTTAAGTAATTGTATATATATATATATATATATATATATGTGTGTGTGTGTGTGTGTGTGTGTGTATAAAACAATTGTATCTACAGCATTATAACATAAAATTTAATTCTATGAATATTATAATTGTAATACCTAATTATACCTAATTATAAATTATTAAAATTAAAATTAAATTATAAATGTAATTATATATATATAATGTTACGTATATTTTTGTAATTTAACATTTCAGATGATTATATATATATATATATATATATATATATATATATATAAACTCTTCAATAGTTTCATTTTCTTTCCTACTCATTTCTTAGTTTCATAGCCTATATTATATTTTAAAAATATACTTCAAAAATATGGGTGGGGAGGACTGCTGAAAAAGAACGTATAAATAAAATATCTATGCCACTGTGTAAAGAATGTATTAAGACTTGTGTGTGCTGTTTGACAGAATGATGGTCCACTCAGACGTGTCTGTTTTAGCCATCAAGGAGCCTGAGGCGATTACGTCAGCACAGGGCGCTCCTTCAATAGTAGAAAAGACAACAGCACTCACGCGCTATTTAAAGTCAAGCAGTTGAGCTAGAGAGTGAAAGTGCCCATACTTACCAAGAGGAAGACGCTTTATCCTTGACTTCAATCAGGAGTTTAGCGACATAGATGGCGAATTCAAACAAGCAGTTGACGTCGTTTTTCATAGAGGACATTTTATCCTTAAAAGAGGATAAAAAAGATGAAGACAGAACAGACACACGAACAGGTATTGTACTACAAAGACAGCCATGCAGTTGCAGCAGTGTTCTGGAACTGTGTTGCGATTTAGTTCATTTTAAAAAATGTGGGGTTGTTTCAATCCATGTTTGGCTCAAAACCAACGGTTAAAAATGTAAACCCAATGGTTGCATTTGCCCATTTGACCCAAACATGGACTGAAACAACCCAGCATTAGAGTGTTAGGTAGTTAACTTAGAGAATGTGCATATCCATCTAAATTAACTACCGTATTTACGCAGATTAGGTAAACATGTGAGGCATTTAGTTAAAGAAAATCCATACATGCCACGTTTGACCTCGCCAATCGCCACAGGTTTCTGTCATGTTTAGATATGTACTGAAGACCAGTTTTCTAGTGAGAAAATATGACTTTAACCTCACATCTTTCGTTCACAGACTCCGCAGACATCTCGGTATGTCTGAACTCTGAGGATAAAACATCGTCTTCGTCAGAGATGACGGCTGGCGTGAAGAAGAAACGCTCGCGGGCCGCGTTCACGCACCTGCAGGTGTTGGAGCTCGAGAAGAAGTTCAGTCGTCAGCGATACCTGAGCGCGCCGGAGCGCGCACAACTCGCGAGCGCGCTGCACCTCACAGAGACCCAGGTGAAAATCTGGTTCCAGAACAGGAGATATAAGACCAAACGGAGGCAGTTAACGACCGAGCACGACAAGGAATACTTTCAGAAACCAGACGCGACCGCTATGGCTGCTACTACAGAAGAGGACTTTTTCAGAGCGTCACTTTTAGCGACAGTCTATAATAAATCCTTTCCGTACCGGCCGTACGTGTTTGACTTGCACGGACTGAGAGCATGGAGACCAGCACTGTGATGATGACAGGGATGTTAACCTGGACTTTGGGAATGTTCTCAGATTATTGTTAATAATATTCTTTATTATGGTGTTTTTTTAAATATTGTACAGCTTTGTATTCTGTGTATAATAAAATATTTTTTTCAAACCACTGTGATTGTTCATTCATCCTCACACCAACTACACGTTTTTTTCCCATTTTAAAAATAAATTTAAGAAGTCCAGGAGCTTCCTTCACGGACTGAGAGACGAATATACTTACCTTTATCTTACATCTATCTATCATTTATCTCCACTAAAGTATTATGTTAACATGTGAACTCTTAAAAATGCATATTTCTCTTATCTGGTTAAAAAGACCTAGCATACTTTAATAAGGAAATGTTGGTTTTTCTCTCTCAAGAGACTGTTTCTTCAAGAATATTAATCTCAAGTAAAAAAAAAAAAAAATATATATATATATATATATATATATATATATATATATATATATATATATATATATATATATAAGGAAAATAGTGCAACCTGTCATTTATTGGCTTATGTTTTAGCCACTAATTTGCAAAAGAGTAAATTGCCATGAGATTGTGTTGCAATGGCCTTCGATGATTCATGTGTTCTCAAAGTAATATATTTGATGTGGTTCTAAAGTTTTTCTTTCTTTGGACTTCAGTGAAAGTTTCCTTGCATACATCATTATTCTTTCAAATCTCGAAATCATCACACTTCAATAGCTAATTCCTAAAAGCGCTCCATTGTTTAACAAGGACTGCAATTATACTTCAGCCCGAACACTTGCCGTTCACAAGCCATGCCAGCTGATAAATCAAGAGAAGGAATCTTTTTGTAAAACATGCGGGCCTGCTCAACATAGAAGTTTAACGTTGCTACAAGAGATAGCGATCTCGAACACCCCTATCCTTTTCCAGATTCAACTTAAGTTGACTTCAGCAGAGCAATGGCTTGGAGAGCCTCGACCGGAGGTGGTCTGTTGTCTGAGGGATACAGGCTTCTCCAGGAAAGATGACATGATTTACCTTGTAAAGTGATGGTCTAATCAGTGAGTCATGAGAACAGGTTTACAAAGGGCTCTGAGTCTGAGACCACAGGATCTCCCAACCTGAAAAATGTAAGTTTACTTTATACACAAAATTCCCAACATTCTGTGAATATGTACTTATTCTTCAGGAAGTAACTGCCGTAGGACATCCGTCACCTGTCTTTAAAGAGCTCTCAGGCATAACCAGACCTCTTTAGCTATTTCTACAAAGACATGTCTCAGTAATTGTTAGGCTTTTCATGAATAGCAGTAGGAAGTGTTTACACAGGGGAGTTAAAATGAGGTATGTTTGCACTCCAGAACATCAAAAACATAATAGTTTTTTGCTACTTTTGAATGTGATGTCATTTGAATGTAAACTTAAACAGTGTAAAATATCTAATACATATAAAACTGAACTACACTCACCAGTTACTCGTTGGACACCCTTTTGCCTTCCAGCTTCCACTCCTGGGCAAAAAAAAAGACTAAACACTTAGCTTTTAATTGCCTTAATCGCCTGTCATAAAATTGGCCAAATTTAAGAGAATGCACTACTTAAAAAGCTATTGCTGTCTCGGAAAATCTTTTTAAAAAATTGTCAGAATATGGGAAGTTTTGTGTGGATTGATGAATCACAATGAAACTCGAGTTGGATGGTGATGGTGATGGTGTGGGGAGCCTGTTTTTGAAAATATTGCAGGAAGTCTTGCTTCCTAAAAATGAAAAGTTGTTCTAAAAACGAATGATCAGACATTATTTTTCAACAAGACAATGTTCCTGTCCAAACTGCAAAGACAACCATGAAGTGGCTTGAGAACAAGCCGGCTCATGTTTTGGCCAGGTCAGAGTCCAGATTTGAACTCTGTTGTGAATATTTGATCTCATATTAATCTCAAACGAACTGGGACATTTTTCAACCATTAATGAACTGTTTGAAGCCATTAACATTGAGAGGAACAACACTGAATCTTCTTCCTGTAATAAAGCTGTCTGCAAGTTACTTTATCTACAGTATTAGTGCAATTCTTGCTAATTTCCTGATCAGTGATTTGGGATTAAAATGGTTAGGACAATCAAAAAACCACTAAAAATGATGTCATTTTTAGCAAGACCCATTTTCATGTCCAGGATTGTATATCACCTAAAGGATTAGGAACACCCGTTCAATTTCTCATTAATGCAATTATCTAATCAACCAATCACATGACAGTTGCTTCAATGCATTTAGGGGTGTGGTCCTGGTCAAGACAATCTCCTGAACTCCAAACTGAATGTCAGAATGGGAAAGAAAGGGGATTTAAGCAATTTTGAGCGTGGCATGGTTGTTGGTGCCACAGTTGCTTCAGATTTATCGGTTGCACATCCATGATGTGAATCTCCGCAATTCATTCCAAAGCAGCTCTATTGGATTAAGATCTGGAGACTGTGGAAGCTTTTTGGGTTCAGTGAACTCATTGTGATGTTCAAGAAACCAGTCTAAGATGATTTGCTGGAAGTAGAAGTGGTCATAAAGGGATGGACATGGTCAGCAACAATACTCAGGTAGACTGTGGCGTTTACGCGATGCTCAATTGTTATAAGGGTCCCAAAGTGTGCCAAGAAAAATCCCCAACACCATTACACCTCCTGGAGCCTGAATCGCTGATATTAGTATCCATTCTTTCAAGTTGTTTACGGCCAATTCTGAATGTTGCAGCAGAAATCAAAACTCATCAGTCCAGGCAATGTTTTTTCCAATCTTCGCTTGTCCAGTTTCGTTGAGTCCATGTGAATTGTGGCCTCGGTTTCTGTTCTCAGCTGACAGGAGTGTCACTGGCGTGTGTCTTCTACTGCTGTATCTCTTCTGCTTCAAGGTTGGACGTATTGAATGTTCAGAGATGCTCTTCTTCAGACCTCGGTTGTAACAAGTGGGTATTTAAGTTTCTGTTGCCTTTTTATCAGCTGAAAACATTTTCACCCATAGAACTGCTCATGGATATTTCCTCTTTTTCAGACCATTCTCTGTGAACCCTAGAGATGGTTGTGTGTGAAAATCCCAATAGATCAGCAGTTTCTGAAATACCACGTACCATGCCACGTTCAAAGACCTTTTTTCCCCATTCTGATGCTCAGATTGAACTAGATTGGCTTCACCATACTAGTTACTGCCATGTGATTGGCTGATTAGATTTTCGCTTTAACTGGCATTTGAACAGGTGTGCCTAATAAATCGTCTGGTAAATATACACAACTTTATAGTTCATAGTTATTAAACTTTCAATTATTTCCATTTGTATGGCTATTTAGCATATGTTTATGAGCATTTAATCAATTCTGTAATATATAAAATACTAATATACTTATGTTATCTACTTGCTTTACTGCATAACTTCACACTGAAGTTACTGCAGGAATGTTTCTATTTGGCAAGGGTGTCTTTCAGTGATTGATAGGAATGATTTTAGAATTTAAACATGAAATAGCTTCCCATTGGTTAAATAATTGAAACCAGTTTCTAAAACTCAAACCTGTCAGGTGAAGTCTGACTTTGACATTAAACTTGTTGTGCCTTTTCTTTCAGTTGAAGCTTGCGGATCCACCCAGCCAGAGCATATCCACCCGCATATTTCTATCTCTACAACAATGTCATGCCACTTAATAATAGTAATCTGTGCGGAGACATTGTTTTGGTGTTGTGAGATAAGAGCGGGCCGGGATACAGGGGTTCTACGAAACAGAGACGGCTTCATCTAATGCCACCCACTTGGCTTGGCTCCAGAGGAACTCTGGAATTTTGTGTGTCCATCCATTTCTGTCCGTTCGTATCAATATCCTCGCTTTAAGAAAATATGTTCTGTGTTACACATAAATTCCCAATCAAAGTGCACTTCTCATATACACGCAAACAGGGGAATTCGTCGTCATGTCATGAAAACGCGTGGGATTGGCTTCTATTCAGTTCTCTCAAATATGTTGTTCAATTGGCAGAGAGACTGAAATGCGCGCTTTCGTTATTGTTTACAGAGAAACAGGCAAACTATATAATGCAAAACAATTTTGACTGACAGCTCAAAAATCAGATTTCTGTCATTATTTGCTCACCCTTACGCGCCAGATTTACTTTTTTCCATTCTTCTGTGAAAGACAAAAGGAGAATTTAAGAGTCTCCCTACAGCTGTTTTACATAACATTCCACTGCTGACAATAAATAAATACATAATTGTCCATATGACTCATTTTCTATGTTGTATGTCTTCTGGAGTTATGTAGTTAGATAGTTAGACTCGGTAGTTCCAAGAATAAAACATGTTGAACATCTCTGAAAACATCTCTGAAATCTCATGCATGTCCTTGTTTAGATTAAAAAAGGCACACCAGTTTTTCACCACTTATTCTTGCTTGTATACTAAACTGACAGCTTATATTTAGGAATAATGAAGTTTGATAGATGTAAGCCAGAGGGGAAGATCTCCAGTGAATAATGAAATCACAAATCACACAAAAATCATACTTTAAACTATAGACAAGGAGCTGTATACGTTCTAAACAATGCTGGGTTGTTTTAACCCAAATTTGGGTAAAATATGGACGAACACAAATATTAGGTTAAAAATGTAATTTCAAATTTAAACCCACGTTCAACTGTGATTTTTTAATTGTAACTATTTGACCCAAATTTGGGTTGAAACAACCCAGCAATTTTTAGAGTGTATCATATTTGTGGGTGATTCTTTAACTATGGTACTTTCTTGTCCCTGGATGAAATAATGAAATCTAAAAAAACATTTCTTCTTTTTTGTTTTTGTCAGACTTACTTCACCCTAAGGGGAACTTATAAAAAAAATTATCATGGCTCAATCATTCTTTTTATTATATAATATAAGGCCTTTTATGCATGATTTTTACTGTTTTCCCCCAGTCCCTAAGCCAGACTTTGTACCTTCAACCTCGCTTAATTCTAAATTAAATATTTAAATAATGTAGATTTTAAGTACAAATTATAAAATAATGTCTATTTCAATTATACATATTATATATTGCAATATTTATTCACATTTTCTTATAAAGTATTTTTCATAAGTAGAACCCTTGTCC